AATTTGATACTTCATCTGAGAACCCTTAGATCAAAAAATATTTTCTCTTACAAACTCCAATATGTACTCTCAGAAAAACACTAGGTTACATTATGTTCCGGGGAGTACATAACATAATTTACAAAAATATGTTAAAAAAATTTGTAAATAAATCCTTCTCCTAATTTGTTACAAAGAGAGTCCCATCATCTTCAGTCATGACATTGATGCCAGAATCAGTGCATCCATTGCACCCTCCTGTGAGTCCTTTTCATACCGCATTCAGTTTCTTCGCAGCTCTGGTCCCATTTAATTTGCCCGCGGCGTAGATGATCTTTGACTTTGTAAACATTTATTGTACATGTCTTATGGCTTAGGTCGGTTTAATTTCTATTTTTAAAAATAATTTTGTAGTTTTGACTCGTGACAAAAAGAATAAAAAATTTATTTGACAACAGATATTTTATAAAAATGACTGGATATTATATCTATTTTTTAATTTTAAATCCAAAATTAGAGGAAAGTCTGAAGATCAGTTAAAAATGTTTTCCAAAATAGTTTCTTGATTTTATTGTTTTGGTTGTGACAATTTATGAAGATTATTAATGATATTTTTGTAAATAAACCAAACTTTTTTTTGGTTTTAGATTACACTCATTAAGTTTCCACCCTCTTGATTTAATGATTCCTTTGTTATCACAACATAGATTCTTATTCAACTATATTCAATAAGTTTTTTTATTCTATTTCGAAAATCAATTTTCTAAATTTGTATTACATAATAATTTTATAAAATAAAAAAATCCAAACATGTCCTTAATTTTATAATAGAAAAATTTAATATTTTTAGTAAAATATTTTTTATTTTTCTTTTCCTATTTTTATGTTCTTGTGTATATTTCTTATGGGTTTTATGTTGTCCTTTTAGAGGATATAGAGTTGTGTTATTTTAAGTGAGAGAAAGACACAAACAATGAAAATCATGGGAAAAGAAATTGAGTGATTCTTTTTAATTTAAATTTTAAATAAAAATTATTAATTTATATATTTCTCTCACTTAAAATGATACAACTCTATGTCCTTTAACAGGACAAATATTTTTCTCATTTCTTCTTATATACTGTTGAGAAACGAGAGACGAGAGGATCATTGAATAAATTTGTATATTGAATTGATTCATGAGAGTAAAATATATAAAGAAATATTAATGGGATTAGCCCATACCTAACCTAAATCCTAATGAAATAAGAAAACAGATCTTTATAAATAATACAGATATTCTTTCCAACACTTTTCCTCAAACTGGAGCATATAGATCATAAACAATAAGCTTGAACAAGAAAGATCAAGAAACTTAACATAAAAAATAAACGAGTGTGGGTTGTAATAATTCTACGACTCACCCTAAAGAAAAATAACAAACATAATAAACTAAAATAAAATATTATCTATATCTCGAATACTCACCCTCAAGATGGAGGGACACTTTATCTTGGAAAGAAAGAAAACTAAAACGAAGCTTCAAGGAATATAAGTCAGAGAAAATCGACAGCAAATCAACTGGAATGACCATCAGTTTGAAGAACTGGTAAAGAGACGATGCTAGAATGGATGTCAGCAAAGGAAGAAAAAGACATCGGCCAAGGAAGGGCTGGGAAAAAGACAATGTTGCAACTGGAATACAAGTGGAGCCAATGTAACTCCACAGACCAGGCAACAACGGAGATAAATGATGCAACTAGAATACAAGCCGACGAGTCAGTGTAACTCGAATAATCCTTGGGCCAGGCAACAGCAGAGATAAATGCTCCCACTGAATGGGAGGCCAAAATAAAGCCAAACAATGGCAAAAATAAATCAAATACAAGACAAATCAGACTTGAATAACACCACAAACATAGGTGGGAATAAAATAAATTGGCCAAATACAAGCTATGAAAGAAAATCAAAATAAAAATAATAAATTATCGAAGAAGAAGAAAACACAGCTGGAAGAAACTAAGAAAAGCAGGGAGAGAAAGAGAATAGACAGGAAAGCCAATTCTTCACGGAGGGAGATGTCTCTCTACTATCATATTAAAATTATGAAAAAAGAGTAAGGAAAGGCGGACAAAGATTCCCTCGTTAGGTTCTAGATACCATGTAGAATTACAAGAGACGAGAGGAACATTGAATAAATTTATATATTAAATTGATTCAAGAGAGTACAATATATAAAGAAATACTAATGAGTTTATCTCATACCTAACTTAAATCCTATGAAATAAGGAAATAGATATTTACAAATAATAAAGATATCCTAAAGATATTATTTCCAACATATACCACTTTGATAATGAATTTTTTGCGGAGTTTATTAAAATAGAATTATCACAAAGATCGAACTATCCATAATAAACAAAACACTACATATCAGTTACTTTTAGAGAGGAATTTGTGTACTTGATTAAACCATATCGAATAACTTTAGTTTGACTATATTAGGATCTCCCTCTCTATAACTTATTATGAAAATGACAGCCTTCGTACGATGTGAACATGGCGACTCATAGGATTTAACCCTGGAGTATATAAACTAAAAGGGGACATAATATAATCTTAGTTAACATTGTGTCTACTAGCTATGTCCACCCATCACAGAGTCTAGTCAGACATTAATGCTTAAGTTGTGTTGTCCAACTAAGTCCACAATTAATAGATGTCAAAAGCTCAATTCGTCATTATCATAATAAGCTCAGTATATTATTTAAATTGAAATATTCATTAACCTAATTAATTTTAAAATGCAAAAATTAATTAATTAATATTGCGAATGTATAAGAGAATTTCTAACAACTTCTCCTAAATCAATCAAATTCTAATCAATAATTTCCATATTTTCAACCTCCATCTACATTTGCATGATTCCTCTTGCGAGGAAAATTCAAACTGAAAAACATATATAATTTTCTAAACATTTATTGGGTGTTGCTTAATTTCCACATTTCCAACTGACTTCTACGTTATATCATATATGTGTCGCCTACTTTAATTAAAATAAGGTATAAAGTTCAAGACTTCTAGTTCATAGCTAGCCAGCTAGCTTCCATACCGATCCATTCACAATTGTTCTATAGTTGACCAAAAACTCACGTGTGGAATGTCTCCTCTGATATTAATAACGCTTCTCTAACATATATATGCATATATAATACGGAAAATCTTCTCTTTATAAATTTTTTCTTATAAATTATATTATGTCTTATCGGTAATATTTTATTTAAGAGTGTATTATTGGTCAGACATAAAGTCACATAATGTAGTTTGTAAAAATTTATAAACAAAAAATTTATAAATATAATGTTCGGCGTATAATATAATAATATATTGTGATTGTTATTAAGAGTTCATACACTTTTTCAAGTTATGAGATTAATCACCACTCTGTCATGCATGTGAGAGCATGACTGTAACAATTAACAAAGTGCTGTCCTTGCAATTAATGTAGATGATTTTAAGCAAAATAAAATGTAAAACAGTAAGTGTATATTTAGTATAACTGCTTTTATATATAAAAAATATTTTTATAACATTAACATATTCAGCTGTTTGATTAAAAGTAATTACATCAAATTTCGTCAAAATTAAATTTTAGAAAAACTATAATTTCAATCATTTTAATTCATAATTTTTTATTATTGCAAAATTGAGATACAAAAGTATATTTCTCTATAAATAAATATTATTTTAAATTATTTCATTTTTTTTTGGTAATCTAATTATTTCATATTTATTCTGATAGTTTATTGCATAAAAATAATCATTGTATATAATCTAAACAAAATGATTTATTTTATAATTAAATTTTAATTAGTATATATGTTTAAATAAAAAAATATGATAATAAATTAAACGATTAATTATGCATATAATTAATTATCAAACAATTTTTAAAATATAAATTTAAACACATATTAAATAGAAAAAAAATTAACAACTTAATATCTTCTTGTTGGACATTCTTACATCATGGTTGAACCAAAAAAGAATAATTTTGTTCTTTAAAGAAGTTTGAAACTATCATTCATTATTGAGGAGGAAGACAATTCCGATTTGCTCACTATGTTAGCTGTACACTTTCGTAGGGTTGACAGTATTACTATTACTCCATTGAGCATTCGAACATCAGAAAAGTTAAAACAAACCATCGTATATATGAGTGCAATCCTTTTTTTTTTCTTTTTTTGTCTTAGAGAGTCTTAAAATTTTTCATTTTTTTTACGATATTATTTTTTGTTTGCAAGAATAAGACTATTGTTTTAAATTCGTTCATGTGAATTTAAATATTTAATATAATACACCATAAATTCAAGCTTATTTAATATAATGACACTTTCTTTTTTTCTTCTGTATTATTTATTTATTTAGATCAAATACTCATAGTAATTTGGTAGAATATTAGTTAAATAGCACCCGACTTAATATTACGTGAAAAGTTATTAAAACAAAAAACGATTAAAGCAATACGTTGTACCAGCAAGCATAACGTTATAGACGATTTGAAATGAGTAATGCAGTTTACATAACCTATCGCCAACATCCATAACTCTTGATATGGTTGCATTTGAATTTCAATCACAATCCCACATAAAAATATGAAGCTAATTTGGATGGTAGAGTTATGTGGATTGAGACGGGCTAAATAATTAAACACGTTTATTTTCTTTATTTTTTCTCATGCCAAAATCAAAACCACGGTGAAGCTTACTAAAGCTTTACCATGTACTGATAACCCACTTAGCGCATGAAAAGTGAATAAGTTAGTGTGAAAATATTAAAGGTAAAAGTATATTTTCAATATTTTTTTAATACTATCTTTAAGATAAATTTAAAATCTTAAACCTACTATGAACAACATTACCTTTTATAAAAAATACATGTGATTTATCAACAAAAAAAAAAATGTTTAACCATCTAATTAGTGGCCAAAACAGTATCCTAAAGATAGATACCAAGGATTATAGGCTTTTCATCATATTAAATGGAACACAAAAAATGAGGATAGATATTAAACAAAAAACTTCAATATTTACAACTCCACACTCCACAGTACAACAGCATATACTCAAGTATACCCTCAAATCGAGATATGTGTAATACACATTAATAAGATCCTCTTTATATAACTAGAGAAGGAACAACTATAAGTAAGAATGGTAATTTGTGTATGTTAATCTCATTTGAAAACTGTCATGTATAAGACTTGAGAATAGCTCCACAAAAAGTGCACATAATAGCCTTCCAAGATCTCCAATAGAAAGGAACGTAGCAAAATCTCGTTTGTGTAGTCATGTCGGCCACGCTGGCACCACCGCCGCAACGCGAGCATGACCCCGCCACGGGTTTGCTCCGCTTCACCATCTTCCTCTGATCCACCAGAAAACAAAAGCAAACCATCACTTCAACACTCTCCAACGTTGTTGTTCGAAATACTAGACTTTTATTTCTGTTTCCAAAGTTTGCTTTCTGATTTGGGACTTGGTTACTTTTATGAGATGGGGAGGGAAGGACTCACTTATATTGAGAGGGAAGGGAAGGGAAGTGAAGTGAAGTTCTTTAAAGGTCGAAATGTTAGGGTGGAATATGCGCCGTTCGATGAATGACGCGTGTCAAGGTCGAACTGACTGGGTTGGACAGGTGTTGGTTGATGAATTGGTTCAGTAATGGTTTTGATCACGTTATTGGCGCGAGAGACCTACCCGACGACTCAATCAAGGTGAAGGCGTGGATGATTACCACGTGTACTGTGCAGATGAGATTTTTTTTTTTTTTTAGATAGTCGTGCAAATGAGATTTTTGTTTGGAAGTAACTATAAAGAAAATATATATATATATTTTTAAATATTTCAATCGGTTCGTTGCTTCGTAACTAATTTGATTTGGGACGGGTCCAGAATTAAAATTTTAAATTCCTCTCAAATACATGTTTTTATCTTCACCTACTTAGTTCTCATACATCTACTAACTGAGCTACTACTATTTGATAACTATAAAGAAAACTTGAAAGATAGAATGGGCAGTAGGACAATGATCTGGGACTTCAGTACTTTATAGCAAATTATTATAAGTCTGCAAATATAGCAAATTATTTACACGGAAATCAAATTAAAAGATTTCGATATAAATTTTTTCATAAAACTTACTTTCACAAAACTTAATAGTTAAAATTGTTGGAACTCGATTCTCTTAACTCGGTTTAGAAGTTTTTTGCGAAAGTCAATCAACAAGATTTTGGAATTTGGATTTCGACAATACCCCGACCTGAACTTCACCAGGTCGGGTAGGACAGCGGAAAAATAAAAATATAAAAGAGAGGAAAGAGAACATAAGCATATTTTAACGTGGAAAAATCTTCTCCAATGAAGAAGTAAAAACTCACGGGACCTAGTCCAGTTCAAACGTCCACAACGTCCACTATAAAAATAATGGATACAAAGAATCAAAATTCACCAAAGTAGTGGTTAACACAACCTCTCAAACAATGGTGATAATCAAACTTTTCTAGAGATTTTTCACTCAAACTCTCTTTTTAGAGATCTTTTCAAATACAAAGCTCAAAGTTTTGCTCACAAATCTCTCAAATAATTTTCTCTTATAACTAATGAATATATAGAGGAGGTGAAATCTAGGGTTAGGATTTTTAAAAAACTTCTCAATGAACTTGGAGTTAGCATTAAAAGAGGAAGTCCAACAAAAATGAAGATATATAAATTTTTTTATTACATTTCTTTATACGCTCAGATTCATTTTATGATTTACTTTGTATTAAAATTTAATAGTTTTAGTAGGAAATGAGGCGGAACGATAGAACTCTCAACAATTTGGTGATAAGCTTTAGTACCATGTCATATAACCAACACTCTCATAAATAAATAAAGGCACATAAATAATTTTAGGGAAAAAGAAGTATAATGTTGTAGGAAAATGTTTAGGTAATGTTATAGAGATAGAGATGGTGGGACCCACGCTTGTTTTCAAAAACCAAAAAAATAAACAAGTGTGGGTCCTACCATCTCTATCTCTATAACATTACCTAAATATTTTCCTACAACATTATACTTCTATTTCCCATAATTTTATCATATCTATTGATAAAAATTCAAATATTAAATTAAAAAGAAAAGAAAAGATGTGGAAACCTTATTTCCTTCGTCCTGAAGTCATTCATATACTCAACTGTTCATGAATGATAATTGAGTAGGATAGGAAGATCCACTTGATAATTGAAAGAGAACATTAATACTTCTGATAATATGAAAGAAAAGTTGTATATCTGTACGTGACTAGGACTCCTATTTGAATTCCATTGGCAAGGTCCAATTTCCAATAAATAGGGTGGAAAATTGTACCAAGAGTGCAAATCATGTGGCTAGAATACGTTTCAATTTTAATTAGAACTTGTCCTTGGAGAGCTTGAAAAGTACCGTATGATAAATTGATTATTATATTCTTGTTGCTTGTCAACACTCAAATTAGTTTTCATGTATTAATTCGCCAGGACAGACAGAAACTTGGCTAAATGTCATGAGAAAACATTTATATCGCAAAAAGAAAAGATATTCAAAATCAGCGATTCAAGATAATTAGCACACAAAAAAGATTGAAAAGGATTGTTAATAAAATTGCAAGCAACTTATGTGTCTTGCAATAAGTATTGAGTTTTGAAAGACAGAAATATTATAATATTTATTATCAATAAACTTATATTTTGATCTTGAAAATATATCTTATTTTATGATTTGAATAATATGTGTAATTTATTGAATCATTCACCTTTCTATATACCCTATTGCATATATTAAGGGAACATTCATCCTTTTGCACACTCTCTACATCTTATAAGGCTAGACTGTGCCTTTTGCACACACCTCCTCATTATTCAGTTCTTGTTTAAATCTTTGTACCTTAGATCATCGGTGGTGAAAGAAAATGGCCTTGAAAGCCGATAGCATCTGAGGATGAAAACGAAATTTTTTCAAAGCAAAATCACACATGCTAATCAAGATACATGTTTTAAAACAGTATGATGTACCTTGTTTGTGATTCAAAACTCTAAGATGATCAGTGTTAAGTTTGAAGGTTCAAACCCTCTAACGTTGATCCACACCAACCTACGTCAAGATGCAAGAACCCTTCTTAAAAAGCCACCAAACGAACACCACAAGGAAGGCACTTTAGGCGTCCTAATAGGAGAAGAAGGAGGCAAGGTTAATGTATTTAGATGAGTGAATTTTTCAGCATGAAAAACTCACAAAGTGGCACATGGATTCTATGAGAAAATGCTAGGTAATTTTCGAAAAACCCTAAAGAGAACCTCACAAAAGGAAGCACACTTGGAGATGAGAGAATGATTGAATTGAATCAGATTTTTCTCCCAAAAATCTGACCTATGTAGCGCCCAATGGTGGAGGAATAAGTGGAGTTGTTGCAATTCAAATCTAGCCAACAACCTCCTATCATATCCTCACGAGACTAAGTCTATACCTAGTCAAAAATCTAACTTAATAACCACCATATGGCCAGCCATATGGTGCGCCCTTATTCAGCCCAAAAAGAGTCCAAATACATTGAGTAGTTGCATTCAAATTTGAACCAACTCACTCACTTATTCTCTCAACCAACCAAATCTGATTGGAGCTTATTTGGTTGATCATATGACCATCATAAGACCCCAAAATCAGCGCCCCAAATCAGCCTTGGATGATGCCCAAAGATCTCCTCTTTATACTTGGAATTTGTTCCAACAAGATGTTATCTTATCCTTTTGTTATGAAACAACTTTTCATAGCAAATTCAAATTCAAACATTTCAATTCAAATTCGAATTCAAACATTTAAATTCAAACGTTCAAACATTTAAATTCAAAATTTAAATTCAAAATTCAAATTCAAAATTTAAATTCAAAATTTAAATATTTGATAATTAATTTAACTAATTAAATTAATTAATAATATCTTGGACCATCCAAGCCCATTACATGTACCATTCGCCCTTTCCCTCTTAGGTGGGCTTCCAAACTTCTTCTTGGGCTAACAACCTTTATTAGGCCCAATACCTTTAATGCTATATTCATCAAGACAATAAGGTGTTAGTGTGTGACCCATTAGGCCCAACATAGCCACTGACATAAATGAGCTTGGGCCCAACAAGCCTACAACCCATTTAATGACAACACAGAGCACTAGCAATGCTTTGTTGCCCCAGAACTAGTTAGGTTAATGACATAATCATCCAATTACATATATTTGGTTACCGTATGTATTTTCTTTCGTCTCGGTTACCTTCCCTTTAAACCTAGGGTGAGGATACGTATCAACCCTTGCGGTTCAGGGTAAACTTTAATTCGAAATAGGGAATCTTCAATTTACTGACTCTAAAGGCAGATCATCTTATGATCTCTTTCATTATGCATAGATTCCCGAGTCCTGGAAATGTCATCCCGATTTCTCCAGTTTACAGATAACCTAATCCCTCACAGAGATTTGACGAATTCCTTTAGCTTATCACCCTAGGCATGTGCTCTTTCAGGACATATCCAAAAGTATACCTATGAGTCTCCATGTTTCAGGAAGACGAGGTATACAATTAAAGGATGCCTTCCAGAACACAGTCTAGGTGAAAACTTCTGGTCTAAGAAAAGACATACCCAAATATTAAGAGACTGCTCTAATGATACTATTTGTGAGATTTCCTCATAGAGTCTCTTTGTGGGCCTGTTCAGTGCGAGCTATACCCTTATAGGTCCACCCACGACTTTAGCTAAAACATCTCCATATATGTAGCTCATGAGGTCTTTACCTTGTATCCGAATACAAGTAGATAAGCCGTGCTAGTCTTATCCGAGATTACTGATCCCCATTCTCAGTGTCTCTAGACTAGGAACATAAAATTAGGAATAAACATCTGGTATCCTTGAATCCTCATGATCGTGATCTCATCACAGATACTCAAGAGATATCTATTCTATTCCAAGGGGTTTATCCAGTTACTCATATCATATTAATAATATCGAGACAAAATATGAAAAAGGATAAAGAGTGCTTATATTTATTTGTGACAAAATAAAAGGTCCACATATGTCCTAATCTAATCAAAAGATTGTCTCTAGGACATCCAGATACTAACAAGCTCCCACTTGGCCTAGAGCCAATCTGACCTAAGTCGTATACCTAAAGCCTCATAATGACTATCATGTTTTCTCTGAGAAACAGCCTTCGTGAGAGAATCGGCTAGGTTATCATCTGTGGGAACATAATCCATCTTTACATCCATCCTATCAATGATTTCTCTAATCAAATGATATCTGCGGAGCACGTGCTTAGATCTTTGATGAGACCTAGGTTCCTTTGACTGCACAATGGCTCCTGTGTTGTCGCAAAGCAATTGTATGGGCTCATCCACGCTTGGAACCACCCTTAGTTCAGATATGAACTTCTTGATCCACACAGCCTCCTTAGCCGCTTCTGAAGCAGCTATGTATTCAGCTTCTGTCGTTGAATCTGT